TCTACAGCCCTGAATGTCAGCGGAGACCAGGACAACTAGATGAGCCCCAGATACAGATCCCCAGTGAAGACCTTGTCTCCTAGACGGCCACCAGGACAAGACCACAGGAACCAGTTGAGTCCTCTGCACAATGTGACTTTGCTGCAGCCTGGAATTGAACTGCTGGTTTGGTCTGGTCAGAGGAGAACAGGCCCCCGACTGAGCCTGGTTTCTCCCAAGGTTTTTTCTCCATTCTGTCACCGATGGAGTTTTGGTTCCTCTGGCTTGCTTAGTTGGGGACGCTTAATTTCCAGCGATATCGTCGACTTGATTGCACAGAGACTATTTAAACTGAACTGAGCTGGACGATGACATCACTGAATTCAATGATGGACTGCCTTTAACTGAAAATTGAGTGTTTAATCTTGTCATTTTGCATTATTGACACACTATTTTTGCATTTAATGCTGTACAGTTGCTTTGACACAATCTTTATTGTTAAAAGCGCTATATAAATAAAGGTGACGACTTGACTTGACTAAGTATTTGTTTAAAATAAATAAAATAAGTAAAATTCATTTAAATAAATACATAAAATGTATCAAAAATGACAAAAATAAATTACATTCATATAAATAAAGTTCATATACATAAAAGAAAGAAAAATAAATAAATAAATAAATAAAACTCATTAAACAAACAAATAAATAATGTGAAATGGAAGATTCCATGTTTCTCATTTATAGTAGCAAAACTATTGATTTACAGATGTTTACAGATCATTCTCATTCAGCACTGCTCTGCAGATCCGCATCACATTTGCGGTCATTAAACTGCAATACTGAAATTGTGTGTGGGTGTGTGTGTGTGTGTGTGTGTGTGTTTGGTACAAGTATTTCCTATGTTATGGGGACAAAATGGGGACATTTTTAGGTCCCCGTGAGGAAATAAGCTTATAAATCATTCAGAATGAAGTGTTTTGAGAATCTAAAAAATGCCTGTAGTTTTGTGTGAGGGGCAGGTTTAGGTGTAGGGTTAAGAGGATAGAAAGAGGATAGAAAAGAGGATAGAAAATACAGTTTGTACAGTAGAAAAACCATTACTCCTATGGAGAGTCCCCATTAAACATGGAAACCAGTGTGAGTGTGTGAGTGTGAGTACGCGTTTGTGAGGCAGAAGTGTGTCACAGGGCGAGGCACATCACCACACCTCTATAACGTCCAGCATGACGAACACAGACCGGTTCTGGAGTCATAAATGCATGATCTCAGAGATCAGAGCCAAACCTTTCCTGCCTCATCCTTTCACTTTCAACCAGCTCATCACGAGCAAATGAAGAATAGAGAGTCTGCTGAACTGAAAATGAAAGCGTGTTGAATGTTGAGATCATATCAGAGTCCTGAGAGAAATGCATGAGGAAGCGCACAGACACACTAACAGCCCACGCAATGACGCGCTTCACAGGATCGGCACGCAAAACTAAAGGACAAACGACCCGTACGAGAGCAGCTAACTGCAATAATGTTAGTCTGCAAATGTGTTTTGAAAAAAATAACTTCCTTATTTAAAATAAACTCACTGTGCCTATTTACACTGAGCTGCTGGGTTTTCTCTGATTGGATAGTCATTTAATCATGAAAAGATCGGGTGTGAATGCCCTCCGAAACGCATTTGAGATGGACTACAATCCGCTTGAGACATTTTCCAGACGCAACTGAACAAGTGTAAATGCATCTGCTTGTTGAAGACACATGTAAATCACGCTCCTCTCAGAACTGTAAAAAATAAAGGTGTGAGAATGTGTTTTACCGACTTACAGTAGCCAGATACCAGAGCGCTACTGCAACACACATCTCTACGCAACTCTACGCATCTCTTTGCATCTCCATGCAACTCTTCATATCTCTACGCAACTCCCCACGCAACTTTTTGCATCTCCACGCAACTCTACACAACTCTATGCATTTCCACGCATCTTTTAATCTCCACGCAACTCTTCACATCTCCACGCATCTCTACACAACACTTCACATCTCCACGCAGCTCCCCACGCAACTATTCGCATCTCCACGCTACTCTACACAACTCTTAACATCTCTACGCAACTCTACACAACTCTTCGCAACTCCACACAGCTCTTCTAATCTCCACGCAACTCTACACATTTCTTTGTAACTCCACACAACTCCCCACGCAACTCTTCACATCTCCACATAACTCTACACAACTCTTCACATATCCACGCAGCTCTTCACATCTCCACACAACTCTACACAATTCTTCACATCTCCACACAACTCTTCGCATCTCCATGTAGCTCCCCATGCAACTCTTCGCATCTTCACACAACTCTTCGCATCTCAACACATCTCTACACAACTCTACACACATCTCCCTGCAACTCTTCGCATCTCCACTCATCTCTACATAGGGTTGCAAAAAGGTGGAAAATTTACAGTATATTTCGGAAATATTCCAGAAATTTTGGAAACTTTCCAGGATTTTTTGGAATATTCCAAGGATTTTTGGAAAGTTTCCGGAAATTTACCCGAAATTGTCCACCCCTTTGCAACCCTATTTCTACACAACTATCCACGCACCTCCACGAAACTTCACACATCTTTCCGCAACTCTACACAACTCTCCATGCAACTCACACATCTCCCCACATCGGATAATTCTTGTTACCAGTGCATATTGTGTATCTATGTTCAGCCACTCTGTCACGTAACCTCCTCTTGGTGAGTCCCACATAGAAACGATTACACGGACATTCCAATCTGTAAATTACACGGGTGGAAATGCAATTAATAAAGTCTGTGATCTCAAATTTCTTCTTGCGTCTTTTGTCCTCAAATGTATTAGTCCAGACCATATTTATACAATAATTACAATTACCACAGCTAAAATTCTCTCCACACAATCTCCACGCATCTCTACACAACTCTCCACTGATCTCCATGCAACTCCACTCTGTCCTTAAAAGTCTGTTCACCCAAAACTAGTAAAGAGATCATGAACAGGTGTAATTTAGGCTTTTATTTGCATATAAACACTGATCAGCTAACACTGTTTACAGCACTCAAATCCTGTCACGGAAGCTCAAGCATGTTTACATGATGCACGAGAACCAGTGAGGTTCATTCTCCCGTGTCACATCATATGTATAAGCTTTTGTTTATGTTTGACGATCAATGTTTATATGTGAATAAAGCCTGAATTATATAAAGCAATCATGTCTCTTTAGAGGACTTTGATTAAACGGCTCAATTCATATGGATTTATTTTTGATCTCTTACTAACGTTTTGAAAAAACTGAGTTTTGGGTGAACAGACTTTCAATGGAGGGACAGGAATCTCTCAGATTTGATTATTTCAATATTTCATTTTCATGTTTGGACCGACATGAGGATGAGTAAATGATGACAGAATGTTCATTTTTGGGTGAAATATCCCTTTAAATACTGCTGTTTATCACCAATCAATTTCACTGCAGAAAATGACAAATCAAAATACCGTCACACAGGGATTTCCAAACCCAATGAACAAACTAAAATGACCCGTGAGATGTGTGGTGTTCAGTACCTTGCTCAGGTTGAGGTTGTCGCTGCGCAGTCTCTGCTTGTTCTTCTGCATCTTGCTGGGCATTATTTTGCCCGTGCGGAAGTCGAAACATCCCAGATCCACCGAGTTCCCGAGGTAGCGGGATAACTGAGGTTTACTGCGGAACTTCTTTCCTGTGGGACTGGAGAAAAACAAACATCAACACACCGACTGACTCAACCTAGTCTATTCTTAAAACACTTCTTACTTGATCATGGCGGTGAGTTTTGCACTAACAGAAAGAAGACTTCTGCTCACCAAGGCTGCATTTATTTGATTAAAAATACAGTAAAAACAAGGATATTGTGAAATATTATTGCAATTTAAAATAGCTGTTTCCTATGTGAATATCTGTTAAAATACAATTTATTCCTGTGATGCAAAGCTGAATTTTTTCTAGGCTTCAGTGTCATCATTTACAAGCATCATTTACGTTCTTTTATTGAAGTTGAAACAAGGTTTATTAGTTCACGTGAATCAAAGCCATGACCTTGATACTCGAGCAGATCAGATACAGAAATTAACGACAGACAGAAACTACAGTACTGTTCAAAAGTTTGTGGTTGGTACGATTTTATGAAATAGTCTCTTCTGTGTGTGTGTGTGTGTGTGTGTGTGTGTGTGAGTGTGAGTGTGTGAGAGAGTGTGTGTGTGTGTGTGTGTGTTTTTATTTTGACAATTTAAAAATTGTAACTGTAAACTGTTTTCTATGTGAATCTCTGTTAAACTGTCATTTATTTCTGTGATGCACAGCTGTATTTTCAGCATCATTACTCCAGTCTTCAGTGTCACATAATCTTCAGAAATCATTCTAATATGCTGACTTGCTGCTCAAGAAACATTTCTGATTATTATCAATGTTGAAAACAGTCGTGCTGCACAATATTTTTGTAGAAACTAATGCATTTTATTTTTCAGGATTCACAGATGAACAGAAAGTTCAAAAGAACAGCGTTTATTATTTTGTAACATTCTAAATATCTTTACTGTCACTTCTGATCAATTTAATGCATCCTCGATTAATAAAATAATTTATTTATTTTCCAAAAAAAATTAAAAATCATACTGACTCTAAACTTTCAGCAGTGATGCTATTAAGAGGTTAGTTTTGGACGTTATAACACGACTGCGGTCACAGCTGCTGAAGAACAGAAATAAAAACACACAGATCCACTTCTCACATGAAGTCTTAATGCATGATTCTTCTGTTTACACATAACAAACAAAGCATGTGCCAGCTGACCTCATCAATCCCTCGCATTATTTTTAACCACCTTCACACAGAGACATTTTCACCGTCCAATCAATTGATCAGGGAGGAACTCAAGTCCCATCCTGCAGCTTCTCTCAGAGAGCGGTCATATATTTCAGAAGTGGAGTATGTTGTGAATGTGGTTTCTTGTTGATTTGAAGCTTTTCCAGCCTGAGACTAAAGCACTAATCAGCTCAGATAAAGCGCTGACCCTTGGACTGACCGCAGCAAACCAGACTTCAGCAGGACTAGTTAACCCGCAGTGACACGTCTGCATGGACTTACTCAGTCATTATGTAACGCCGTATCAGCAGCAAAGACTGTTTTCATGGAGAGATTGAAATAATAATAATTCAAGTTTCAATTCAAGTTTTATTTGTATCGCACTTTTCACAACACATGCTGTTACAAAGTAGCTTCACAGAAAAAGCACGTTTCAATCAGCGTTATTTTAGTATCATTAAGATACTATTATAGTTTTATTTCAAATGTTTTGAATTAGTTCGTTTTAATTTGTGTATTTTAATTAGTTTATTAATTTTGTCATTTGATTTTTTTTTAAATGGCTATATAGTTTTTATTCATTTTAATTTAAGTTTTAGTTGTTTCAATACATCAAGTTAAACTAAATTAAAATGAGAAATGTTGTTTTGGAATAGTTTTTTATAATTATTTTACTTAAGCATTTATTTTATTTCAAGTAACAAAAACTGTTTAAGATATATATATATATATATATATATATATA